ATGTCCATTGTCAGTCTCAGTTATGATGTTCCAAAACACTTCCATTTAATGTATATTTCAGTGTTATTGTAATCATCATTCAGTGGCTTGTTTACATATGCCATACTTCTACCCATGATACTGTGCATACATTATTATAGCTTAACAGATTTCTTGTTATATTGAAGTACAATATCTAGTATGTCATACAAGGACGACTCCCTCCCCAAATCCTACCCGCATCTCTTGCTGTTGCAGATATGGTGACCAGACATACCAACTTATGAAGATATACCTACTGGGAATCACACCAAAGTATTTTGCCTAGCGTTTCAAAATGTAGCGACAGAAAATCTAACGATACTTTTGGGGGGAATTTACCTTCCGTAATCCATCAGAACGTTAGAAAAAAAATTTAACCAAGAATTTAGTTTTGTATACTGTACTTGAAAAAGTTCATGCCAAAACTCATTAGCCACCAGTGTCCCACCCCAAAAGTTGCACAAAGTGCTTGTTATGTGCCTAACAGTGAATGAGAGCAGGCCTATAGGCAATGATGCTAGAGTGCCAGGCCATTAGTCCAAGATAAGCATTCCTATGTTGACCTTACTTGTAAAACTTTTAACAAATTAGTCTTTTAAGTACATGTACTGGTAAGTACTGTACTGTACTGTACATACTGTATGTGTAAACATAAATGCACCTACACCCAGGCTATCATAACCTAAAATCTAAGATATGCATTTATGTTGGTTTTTATATTTGTGGTTTAAAAAAGTACTGTATGTAGTGAATTATCTTTACTCCTCTCCCATTTCTAAGCAAGGTAATTAAGGGGCATAACAACCTTAAAGATGAAGAAAAATAAGAGTGAGAAGATGCAAAGGACTGGAAAGGACTATACTATGATAACTAGAAGATCTACAGGGGGGTCCTTTCTATACGTTATACCAGTACACTGTACTGTATACATACTTTCACAAACTGTACATTGCTAACAAATATATGAAGAAATTTTCATTATAGTACATCAAATGTTTCACATATACGTTGTCTGCATTATCCATTGTCTTACACCAGGTCTGTGTGTACCCAAATATGACGTATAAATAGTGTTAAAAGAATCTAATATAATGGAAAAAAAATCGTAATAAAAGTGCCTTACAAGTGTTAAATTTCTATTACACAAGTCAAAATACATCAGTCACTTCTGACACGATTTGCGTGCTAATGCCATTGCTATGCAGTATGTAAGTAACCACAGAATTTGTGAAAGTCATTTCATAAGGCTGTGCACAAGCTATTATTACATAAGAAACCATGAAAGTTATGGGGAAATTATTTCAATGTTTTAATGTGGCTTAGAAATAAAGAAAATAAACTATAAAATAAAAAAAATGAAGAATGGGAAGTAAATTCTGTGTGGGAGAGTTTTTGACTGAGGGGACAACTCCCTCCCTCCGCTTGTCACCTGGCGACCCTATTAACACGAAAGTATGCAATTTCATTATAATTTCCATACTACAATATTTTTTTAGATTCATTTGGTGCCGTTAATAAACCATAATCATAAAATAATAAATTTTTCTGAAAAAACAAAATGCACTCAACCCCAGACATGTTATTGGATCGTATTAAATTTCTGGTCCTTGTTTACGAAACGCAAATGGCTCATCGTCCTAGCCCTCCCTCCCCATGTCAGCACTCTCCATCTCTCATGCTTACCACAACATCTATCTTCAGCATTTAATAAATAATATTGTAATGTATTATACCCTAGTTTATTCATTAATCAGTCGTCTAAGTGTACCAATAGCCAAATTGACCCATCTTATATCACTCAGGTAACAAATAACTTTGTTAGGAACGTGTCTCCATATCAAATAATATACAGTACTGTATGTTATAATGATCCCATTGTAAGCTGATTTGTTTAAAGCTCTCTCTCTAGGAATGCATCTTGAACTTTCAAGGGGTATTGCTGTACATGTTGGAATGCATATACTGTACCTGTACAGTACTGTACAGTACCCATAACATTAATTATGGGAAAAAATTTCTCATTATAAAACATTTTCTCTGGACCACATCTCTGACGAATAGTAAAGGCCCTTGTACAGATATTTGTTCATATCCTCAACTTGCCAAGATAAATTAACTTCCAAATGTACAACCTTAGGTTATATTCCTATATGAAACACAACAAATTTACATTGTATATTAATTCAAATACACAGCCTGAATAAAGTTATAGACTTGTCTATATATGCCATTATTCAACATTCACAATTTGACTTGCATCAAACTTTTTTTTTTTTTTATACAGCTAATGTAGCCCTTCTGTCCATTTATACTTCTGTTCGGCAGGGTCAAGTTGGCACAGATCAGTGGTTCTTAACCTGGAGACATTTCAATCTTTCAAGGGGGGTGGGGGAGGGTGGGGGGCACAAAGGATTGAACTTTTTTCTGACTCAGAATATATATTCCCACCAAAATAAATTAGAATTAAGAAATTGGTGCGGAAAACCTGCCGCTCATTAATCTCAAACTTAACTTCATGTAGAATTGAAAATTTTCAGACATAAAAAAGAAGCAATAGAAAGAAAAACAAAAAGGCAAATGAGATGCAAAAACACTGCTGGTGTTTAAACACATATGGCACTGCAGTTCTGCTTGACTGAGCTGGGACAGTGTTATCATAGAGTGGGGGTTCCCAATTTTTTTGAGCACTTCTGGAATAGATACATATGGAAACGGTGAAATTGGAACTCGAAAAAAAATTTGCTCTTAGGTACTTTGGGGATAAGGAGCACCCTGAATTCAAGGTTCATCATAGGGTGATGCAGCTCTAAAAAGGTTAAGAACCACTAGCATAGATCAATGACAGAACAGGAATGCAATTTCAAAATAAGATGATACAGCTGGCTAATCTAAGTTCTATTCATATAGCTGGCCTTCACAGCCACATGTGAGAACATTGGTGCAAGAGTAATTTTCAAACTATACTGTATTTGTTATAATCACCTACAGTGTTTAAAAGTAAACTCCATTTGACTTACATGATAACCAAACTTCTCTTTAATCTCCTCTGTATGTTGCTCTTCTGAGAGTTGCAGCAAGACAGAACAGGTAATGTTAACAGGTACCAGTATTTCAGTTATTGGTGACCTCCACAAGCATCCAACACCATTGTAAGAAAAAAATTAAGAAATTTAAGTTTAGTAATCTGGAGGTAAACCAAATACCAAAATTATATGTGTTTGTGCAGACTCAGGATTGCTTTAACCATTGTTAAATGAAAAAAAAAATATATATATATATAAATAAACATATAAATAAAAAAAATGCAGAAAATGAGAGATGGAGAAATAAGAGAAGACAAATATATAGTCCACTGTAACAATGTGTATATAATCATAGAGATACGAGACCAAGAAGTCTACTATCTAGCCAAATTAATTACATGTCTTGATAAAGCTGGATTAGTCTATATTAACCTATTTTTAATTATTAAAATTAAAACAAAATGCAAAAGGAAAGAGGATTCAGGGAACAGAAATTACATGCAAAGTGAAGGATGAATTGGATGGACAGTAGTGAATAAAAATTACAAAATGAGATGTGAATGTGTCAAGACAGATAGCATATCTGGGCTTACTCATTTGGTATAGACATAATGCAGGAATGGCAAGTGTGAGAATGGTAAAATGTGTATAATTCGGAGGTGGATGGGAGGAGAGATGACCGAGATGGAAAGGAGAGATGACCGAGATGGAAGAATGGGGTGAAGGACACACTGACAGTGAGACCGAAATCTTACAGGCAGCAATGTGTGTGAATCACCAGAGAACTATGTAGTGATTTTTTGGGATAAGCATGCTGTTGCTGGGTATACTAGGTTATGTGGAACAACATAGATATGAGTTGTACTGTTGTCGAAAGGGGGACATCAAGTAAATACATTTATTGCAGATTACAGTAGTAAGAATGAATGATCGATAGTGTATGAAGTAGTCTTTGTTCGTCCCAGCTCCAGTCAGCCTGCAGTATAGCAGAAGAGCTTGAAAACCTTATTGGATAGAGAAAATTAAAAAGATGATTATAACAACTTAAAGTTTTGTCTCAAGATGCCCCTTACCATAATGTATTCATTTTCTCCTTACAGAGAGGCATGGGCATTATCTGACCACCAAAGATAAGCCATACATAAGAAAACTATAAAAATAATTATCATAAACAGCTGCTAGCTGCTTATATTTTTCTTCAAGGCTGAGGACTGTACAACAAATAGTAAAGATGATTTACACCAAGAGAAATGGCATACATGAAACATCATTTGTAGGTATAGTATGCTGCACTTAAATTGTACACAAGGTATTTGTTCATGAAATAAAGTCCAGTTTATGTTTGTATCCCCACATTCTGATCTTTGTAAAAAAAAAAAAAAAAAATAGCAACATCTAACAAAAATGAAAATTCTGTATGTTAACCAGAGTTGCTAAATGAAAATACTGTACAAAAAAGTGTAAGATCCCAAACCTTTGAGTTACTAAAACAAAAGCATGGATGAATTCCCATGTGCTCAAGGTAGTTAACATTCCCCAGACACTAACAATTACAGATTACTGGAACTTATGTAACACACAGTACATCATGTGATACTGTACATCTATAAATGAAAATTGGGGTTGGGTGAAAGACTGCATATACACAAATTTAACATTATTTTCCAGATATGAACATTACAATGATGTTGAATTAATAATTTCAACCATTTCTTTTAAATGAAATGTCAATTTTTTTTAATATAAACTTGTTGCATGTCTTCCAGTGTATGATGGTAAACTATTTATGAAATTAATGGGAATAAGGCAATCACATTAAAAATTTAAAGATGAATAAATAAAAAGTATTAAGATGGGTCTCCACAAACAACAATCTTTTCACTTACTCACAATTAACATTAGTAATCCACATTCAAAGAAAAAACAAAACATTAGAAACAGGATAAGGAAAGACTGTTTCTCTGAATACTTTTCTTTCTACAACTTTCTTTAAATCCAAGAAATACAGCTGAGATGAGTACAGACTTCTGTACATTGAAAAGTACAAATACACAGACTTTCACAGACTTGTTTGCTGGCTACACTCGCACTTTAGAATAATTCACAGACACTGCTTACAGCAGGACACACATCATCTTACTTTAATTACTGTACACAACACTGAGAGTCCTAATGCCTGGTAGGACTCAATATCACTGAGGTGGTCCTTGCAAGGGCCCAGCTGAGACACTAGGGGGCCCTGGGACCGGGGGGGACCCTAGGGGGGGCATAGCGGCACCCCCACCACACAGTTTGTACCACACATGGCTGAGAGAGGCCTACACGCTCACTGGGTTTACCCGCCCGCTACTAAGACGAGGGATTTGCTGCTGGTGCTTCCATGGGGACTGGAGTAGTCGCAGCCAGGGACTCGCACTTTGAGGTTGACTCAGAGTTTGTGGTTTGGGTGGGGGCGATTGTAGGGGTATTTGTTGGCTTAACAGACAGGGTTAATTGTGGGGTAAATATATTTGCAGTGATTGGTGCAGGGGTTGTTAAATTAGGGGTGGGAATTTTACCTAGGCTTGGTGCTGCAGCAGGGACTGGGGAAGGGGTTACAGCAGTGGTTGTGGCGGGATGTGAGAATGGAGCTGAAGCGGGAGCTGGAGTGGTAGCCATGGCAGAAGCAGGATTGGGGGATGCATTAGGTTTGTCACACTCGCTGGATGTAGAGTCATGATTAACTGCCAAGCTTATGGCTGTAGCAACCGAGGCAGATTGACTGTTGGGTGTGTCTGACGGTGACTTCACATCCATGGGTGCATCTGGAGTTGTGGTTGACTCAGAGGCTTGTGCTGTAGTTGGTGGTGGTGAGGATGGTGGTGAAGGGGAAGGTGAATATTGGGGAAAGTCAGTTTGCACTTGGGCTACATTAAATAACACCTGTGACAACTGTGATGCAACATAAGTGTCCAATATCTGGCTCATGACCAATGTCAATAGTCTGTTCTCAGTTGAGGATAACACACGAGCATTGGCCGGTACTCGTGAGAGATGTACCAAAGTGTTGGCTGACCGTCGCACCATATCTAAACTTGTGCCCATCAATTCTGGGTTTTCTTTTAGAGCACTAACACCCTGAACATTTGCTACATTCATTGCTGCTGCCTCTGCTTCCTCGATGAAAGCAACAAGGAGAGAAACACATCCATTCTGCATGGCTATGACTCTGGCAACACCCGAGTCTGCTGCAGAGAAGTAATGCAGGAGGTTAATAGAGAACTCCCGCAACACCTGATCTTCACCACGACACATAAAGCGAGTTAGCTGGCCACATAGGTTATCCAAACGAGTGAATGGTGGTGTTGCCAAAACTAAGTCTGTATTCTGGTCAAGAACACAAAGCTTAACCAGGGCTTCCAAAGCTAGGCGTTGAGGTGATAACGCAGACTGTATGGAGCTTCCACCGCCTGGGAAAGGATCCTGCCCATATGACGCAGGACACGTTGCCCAATGCAGCAGACCATTCAAAAGGGGTCGTGAGATCTCTTCAGGGTATACAGACAAGTCCAGGTTGCCTGCCATATTTGCTAAAGTGACCAGTGTGTTCTCATGAACATGATGGAGGTATGGCCACCACCAATGTGTGTCAGGAGCAAGAGAGCTGCACCAATCACTTAAGTCTGCTTCCTCGTCACGATCATAATGTGCCGTGGAAGGAGTGCGCTGAGGATGTTCATGATGCAGCAAGATTGTCTTGCCCAGTAAGGCTAGCAGAGATGCAGATTTGCTCATGATGTCTTCATTTCCTGGAATGAAGGATAGGTTCCGGATCACTGTGCCAACACACATGACCCTACGAGCCAGCCAGTCCTGCCCCTCCGTTGTTGTGCTGAGTGATGCTTCATCTGGACTCCACGACTCTTCCTCTAGATCCTCATGCGGCCTCTTGAACCCTCCACTCTCCCTCCTAGAGCCACTGCTCTCTCGCCTTTCTAACTTTTCTTTAGTGTCCTGCTTATTCTGAGATATTTCCTCAATTTTTTTCTCTGGTAACTTATCACTATTTGGTTCCTGTTTTACCACCACACTAGAGTCTTGGTGCACTTCAGTGTCCTTTTTCAACACGCATATCTCCTTCACATTTTTCTTATTGTCACTACTATCTTCAATTGGTTCCTTCTTTAACTTCTTAAATATTTCATCTAGTTTGCTCTTCCTTGAATTATTCACTCTAATCACCCTTTGACTGAAAAGTTTGTCTGTTGACTCATTATCTTTGGAGTTGTCACACTTTTCCCTAGAAATAAGGTCCTCCATTTTTTCCACCTTCTTCTCCTGCATCTCAGCCAGTAAGTCAACTACTTTGTCCTTCTCAACTGGTTCCTCTTTTATTTGCACCACCTCCACCTTCTTTTCTTCCACTACTTCCTCTTTGATTTCCTTCACCTCTTCTACTTTAACCTCAGTAATTTTTCCGTCCTTTCCCGGTAGTAATCGTGTGAACAGCACAGGGGGAACTGAGCTCTGCATATTGCAGATTATGTGGGCTGTACACTCCCCGCCACCCACTGACCACGTATCCACTCCAGAACTGAATCCCTCCCATTTATCCCATTCCCGAATCCCCTCCCGCATGAAGAGTTCTCCATCTCGTTTAACAAATTTCACCGTTTTCCCAGTTTTAGTGATGAGGGTGAAATCTTCTGACCCTTTTAAAACTTCCTCTTTGTTAAAAGGATCGTCCTCTTCTAATTTCCCTAGGTCCAACTCGAGGGTGGGAGATGGTGGAGGCCGGAGATACCAAGGTCTATCTGTGTCATCGTGCTGCTCTGCCTGTAAACACAAAAAATAAAAGGCTTAAAGGTGTGAATCACTAACCTAAATGCATCTGAAATAAAAATATTGTTTCTTAGGTACAATAATTCTTTTATAATCTGTTTTTACATTTGCAATGAACAATTTCCATTTATTTTTACTAAATTTTATTTAAAAATTGACGACTTAACAATAACATAAATGACAGATTAAACAAGGCCAACAACAACACACATAAAATAACAAAAAATAGAAGTGCATAAACACCCCATACCTTGACCCTCTTGTTAGCTCCAGTAGCTTCATCGTCACGACCCAACTCTAGCTCTGAGCAGATATCAAACATATTGATGAGGCCACGTCTGAGATGTTCAATTAGTGCTTCAAGCAACCCTGGCATGTGATGCAGGCCAAAGTAAACAACTGTTTGATCATCGAAGAGCAGTATGTTTAACACATCTAGGGCCCACGTTACTTCGGCTGCTAACCCACACCTGCAAACAAAAATACATTGAGAATTATTTGTAACTCCAATTTACTTGCACACCAATGAAAGGGTCTGGAGGTTGAGTCTTAATAAATATATCATTCATAAACAATTTGCCAGAAAATATAAAAGCTTAGTCCACATAAAGTTAATGCTCATAGGAGTGGCACTGAACTCCCCCAGCTTAGCTTTATAGCTACCAGAAACAAATACTGCACCAAATGTACAAACTTCCATGCCCAAGGAATAATAATTTCCAAGGCTAAAAACTATGATTTTGGAAGTTCACGAATAAACACATCATTTGGGTATTAAAAAATAAATATAAGGGCTTAGCTCCTAGTAACCTCCCCCCACCCCCCCCCAAAAAAAAACATACTGTATACATTATGACATTAATGAAAAAAAATTAATATTCTGCAAAATATTTTGATTAAAGTAAAATAATGGCATTACAATTAATAAATTATCACTAACCACATTCAATGAAAACATATTAAGTCAATGATACATATACTGTGATAAACGATTACAGCAAACAATCTATGAAATAAACCGGTAGCAATCAAGGTTACAGCAAATCATAAATTAATGACAAAGAGTCACACACAAGATACTCATATATAAATATAGTTCAGGATGCACTTCAGTCTAGTGCTGAAAACAGCCTTACCTGAGAGACATTAGAAGCCTCCAGGGATCACAAGTCTGGAGGTCAGAGCGAGTCATCCGCTTCCTGCGCGCCAGCACCGGCAGCACCGCCTCTACACTGTCCAAGGGGAACTGGTGTTTCCCTGGATATGCACTGTACATGCCACTCCCACACTGTAAGACAAGAGGTCGATAAAGAAACACCCCAAATCTCTAAAATTACTGGTGGCAAAACAATTGGAGCAAGATTATAATTTAAGAAGAAAAGAGACATAAATTGCAAGCATCAAAATTGGGATAAAAGTTACCAGAAATATGAAGGATTGATCCTAAAATCCCATCTTCTAGCTAAACACAAACTGATGAACAGAAAATATTTCTAAATTTTTTGAGACACAACACTAGTCCTTCAAGGAAGTTGGGAAGGTTTGGTTACCTCTCAAGGCTGAGGGCTGAGAGCCTTCATTGATATACCTATACAGTACTAGTATAGAGAGCTCTACAACTGTTATGCACCATCTAGAACCCAGCAATCCACCTCAACTGAGCATCCCCAAGGAAGGAGGAAGGAATCTAAGTTGCCCAGTCTGTGTTCAGTTTTACAATGGGATCTCAGGACCAAGCTCTCATTCAGAGCCTTAACACATCTTTTACAACTTGTGTATCTACAACTAGCTAAAAAAAGGGAGGTAGGAAGCAAAAGAGATCTTCAAGTACTAGCACAGCATTGCACCATTCTAGGGAGTTATATTACCTAACCAATACACTGGAAAATACCTCATTATACCTAGTCCCTAGGGCTATGCAGTCCTGGTCATTAAGCTGTTAAATGAGGTACTGTACTTGGCAATGAAAGTTTCTGCATATGGTCATCTACCTTGACTGGACTGACAAACAGAACAAACCAAACAGGAAAGCCTAGGAGGATGCAATGCCCAACAGCTCATGGACTTGAACTCGACAGGTTGTATGAGCTTATTGCCTTAATTCTATTTGAAATTTAAACCCTTGAAGTCCCACTTATCTCTGATATACATACAGGTGTTGACAACTATAAGATGAGGTTAGGGATTTGAAAAGTCATCAAAAAGTGATCGATCAAATATCGATATAGGGGAAATATGGGTTCTGTTCCTGAGACCCTGAAGAGCCAGAGTTAGCTTGCCATAGTGGTTACTTTTCAACTCGTAATTTCCGGTTGTCATGTGTAATTTTGTTCATTTATTTTTTACTGTTACATGCACATACAATCTTTCATACAGACTGTGCAAACAAAATAAAAATAAAAGAAATAATTATCTTTACGTCAAAAACATAAAGGCAATACAAATTTCTTACATGTACGAGAGTTAACACAGAGTGGGGGAGCGACATGAGGAGTTTCGGCTTGCTTCTCATGCCCCTTGTGGAGTAGAACAATTGCCAAATGGCAACGCAGTATTTTTTCTTTTATTTTATTTTTTATTCCTCTCATTTTTATTTGTTCAGTATATATTGTATTATTTTATGTACAAAGAATAGCTTCTTCCACATGCAAACCATCCTCTGGGCAACAATGACAGTTCAAATGCTCGGCCTGTAGTCACCAGGGATGGGCAGTGCCTCCCATGCAGGTCACATGTGTTGCACCATTCCAAGATTGCATCATCATATCTTGGAGTATTGCAAGTTACAGCACATAACTTTTTCATACAAGTGACAAAGCAGGAAAAGCATTTGGGTAGCCATTGGGTAATGACCATAGTAAATCTTAGCGATCACATAGCGGTATATGGTGTTCATTTCTTTACATGTAAACCTGATTGATCGTATATCAATCAATCATATAACGGTCAACACCTGTACTGTATTCACACACAAACAAAGAGCAATCGCCTGTAAATAATCACAAACCTCCTTAACCAGACAGTCGTCTCCAAGCTCAAAATCAAATAAACTCAGGGCAAAAGTTGTGTATCTTTTTCTTTGGAACAAATATCAAACTTGACTCATTATTGGCACATGTACAAAAGGAAACAAAACCATCCACCATCCTCAGAGACTGAAGCTAAGAAGCCCACGTTCTAGCAGTATAATCCAGGAACAAGGTAGCCTTTGTAGTGGTAAAGACCAATTCCTCGAATGTAAAATTTCCTATCTAATTTAGGAAACAAATAGCAGGTTCCAGAAACCAAGACAACTCAATAGGTCACAGAAGAATGAAGGTTTTGTAATATTACTGAATATATTTTCAAAGAGAAACCAATTGTAAAGAGGCTCTCCAAAGGTTGAGCAAGTGGATATTTATACAGGTAAATTGCACTAGAATTAACACCCAAAATACAAACTAACATGCAAACACACATTTAAATTAAAATAATAATACCCTGTAATAACAATAACAGATAAATAAACCATGATTCCAAATTGACTCATATTTCTTGCTGGTGGATTCCCCTGGGGAACCGAAAAGGAAGCATATACTAGAGGCACCATTCTTCATTAGGAACAAGCACCTCAAATATAACAGCTTTGAGTTTTGTAGAAGCATGGTCAAAGCCTGGCCCTATACACCATCTTCTAACCCTGACATTGTTTTTTCATGGGAGATGTAGTGGGGCTACCTGGCCTACCATCTTTTCTACCTCCCTGAGAAGAATCTACATTAGACCATTTTCTCATCTCTTAGTTCCCACAAAAGAAATGAGGAAAAAATTGGAAAGAAGTCATCAGTTTTTACGAAGATCCATCATAAAACTATAGGTTTGGAGGCCTTTCCTATAATAAAGACCCAGGAAAAAAAAACACACACACACACACACACACGTACCTCACTCCATTACCACAAACCTCCTAGCTAAGCACAACTTTTTCATAAAACTGCCCCTGTCAGTCATAGAAAGTAGCATTTTATAAATTAGGAGGTTGGTTAAAAACCCGAGGAAAGTAAACTTGACAAGAACCTCCAGGTTACCTGTTACTATACCCTTTAAAAAAAATCATAACCAGTGCAGTAATATCCTCCTCTGACTAAATGTACAGGTTTTCTAAGGAAGTTTACATAAGGTCTATAAGGTCAGCCTTGGAAAAAGCCTTGTCACTAATATTAAAATAAAAGTCCAAAGCTGCCAAGAAAACAAATAAGGGATCACTGTAAGTAGATGCCCTCTAGTGGGAAACTTGAAGGCAGCTGTTGGATTGGAAATTGCACCTATGTTTAACCATGGAAAATCTTGACTCAAAAAGTCCTAACAATTCACCTCCTCTATGATACACCCAGTAAAGAGGGAACATCAATTTCAATCTTGTGGACTTAAAGCACTTGTTGTCTGTACAGTACAGTATTATGTTACCCAAGATGTACTCCAGCTATAAATTAATATTTTATGATGATGAAAAACTATATACTCTAACATGCATTAAACATTACTAAAATTGTACTCAGAATCCCTTGAGACAAGTTAACTTTAGCTAAAGTGTTTCAATTCTATACCTACCAGACTTCAATATACTTGAACATAAATTCTATATCACCTAAGGGTGGTAAAAGGAAGGATACCAGTTATTAAGACCTCATGGAAAATATATAAAAAAAAAATTTGTCAGCTGATAAATATTTAAATAACTAATATTAGTAACAGTTCACCATAAATGGATTGGAAGAAATGTGATATGGATATGAAACTGAGTGTATATTTAACAACTGCTTTTGGTCCAAGTACTGTAATGCCATTTATACCTCATGGTAACTATATACCGAGTACAGGATTACCCCAGCTATCACAATGGATGCATTCCTAAAAGTCATTGCAAATAACAAATTTGCAAATATCAAGGCAAATTTCCCCATGAGAATTAATGTAAATAGGAGGGGGGAGCGAGGGGACACATTTATAGCCGGCAACTTTTGACCACATATTTTTTTTATATATACTGTACTCCTTATTACCCGAGGCTATTAGGGAGCAGGGTTGCATGTGCTGTATACTGTAGTACAGTACCAGTAAATGTGAGGAATAAATACAAATTATACCAATAAAGAAAAGAAAAGAAAAAATACCGTATTGCCAGTTGGCAATAGTTGCACTACACGTGGGAGACCAGAGCAGTTGAGATCTCCAACTCCCTCGTTTCCTCCTTCCACAATCCATGGGCGAACAACAGCCCCCATAGTAAATGTTTATTTGATTTATGTTTTAACATTATGATATTTTTTTTTACACATTCTGAATGAACGACTGTGTATGAATGTAATAGTATAAAAAAAAATACATATATGTACTGTACTGTACTGTACTGTACCCAAAATTACAAGTTGTGGGAGGATGAGATCCCAGCCCCAACATCACCCTCACCACTCCCCTCTGCCTCTCCCATAATCTGCATACTTACTCCCACGGATGCAAGAATTTTTTATACTCTTTTATGTTTATGATTTTTTATTTTTTCCCCTGATGCTGTATAACCTTTTGTGTGTATGCATGAAAAACAGTATACAGTATATGGAAAAAGAATACTGAATAAAATTGCACATACTATCTACTCAAAAATATGAGTTAAAAAATAACAATTACAAAGCTTCACCTGCTAGGAGGAGAGGTGGGGGATACAGCTAAGGGGATAACTGACTTGATGACCTGTGAAGTCCACAAACACTCATATTCATTTCACACACACACACACACCTATGCTCTTCGGATTTCTTCTTTTATAGCAACATATTTGTTTATATACAGGTACACACCATATAGTTAGTGAGAGAGAGAGAGAGTGTGTGTGTGTGTGTGTGTGTGATAATATTGATGATAATAATAATAATAATAATAATAATAATAAACGGTTTATAAATAGAATTGCAGCTGGTGGCTGAAAATACAGTGATCCCTCGGTTAACGAGCGCCTCGGTAAACGAGATTTCGGTTAACGATTTACCTTCCATAAGATTCTTAACTTCGGTTAACGAGTAATCCCTCGATTAACAAGTTTCTTACGAGCGGACCTCAACATCTTTTTGCTTGCAGTTGGTGGTCCACCAGCTGTAGTATTAGTCCGCCAATACAGTTATCGGTTCTAGGGCTTAAATTCCTTATCCACTTTAGTAAATATCAAGAAGTTTATACTATTCAATAATTTTAAAAGTTTAAAATTAAATTTTTTTGTCATTTTAAAAATTATTGAACATAATTAAAGTGTAGGAAGCTAGTTTTTTGCGCGCCAAACAGCCTGTCAACACACCATACAGGCGTCAGTCTCTGTCTTTTCAGTGGAGGTAACATCTTGCTTCAGACTCTCAACATAAACGCTTTTTTTCTGTGTTTCCAAGCAAATTATTGGTCATTTTGAAATTTATTTTTCATATTGCCAATATATAATGCAGTGCAGTGTTGATTTAAAGAAAATAATCTTGAATTACACCAAGTGAAGTAAAATTTTATGGGTGAAATGGCACCATGGGGTGACTTCTCTTCCACCCCAATGCCTTCTCTTCTCCCTTCTCCTCCACCCCCATTCTAATTCCCACCACCACCATCATCATCATCATCATCATCATCCAGGAGCCTTCTACGTACACACCTCAAAGTAAGTGCGCTTTACTACCTTTTTTGTTGATTTTAGGCAATTTTCGGTGAGCTCGAACCAATTACCCAAAAACCCATTGAAACAATGGTTTCGGTTAACGAGTTTTTCGGTTAACGAGCAACCTTCTGGAACGAATTGTGCTCGTTAACCGAGGGACCACTGTATACAAACTTACATGTGATTTTCACATAATAATATACGTTCAATACATTTACAGGGCTGTACAGTACATAAATCAGGAGCTGTTTATTATTTTAACAATAGATGGGATGGTGCTATTCTTATATCTATCAGTGCGGGCTCTTATGGGCTGAATTTTGTTGTAGTGGCGGACTGCGCGAGGTGGGAGGGGGACTGCTGGTGGCAGGAAGTGACGATGACGAGGATGGTGCAGTAGTCCACTGCCAAACCCTGCTAGTGCATGGTGTTAGTGTAAACATTTAAACTAGCATATATCATTGCCGTGTGAAGAATTCTAGAACACTTTATGCATTGTTTTATGATGCGGTTTGGAATTACAGGTACAGGCGTGAGGTGAGCGTCTCCCGCGTGTAAATTTTCATGCTTGTGCTTTGTGTGAATAGTCCCACTGAACTTAATTTTTTCCTTAACCACGTGGGTCTGTACGCACATAAAAAACGCTCGTGTGAAGTAGGCCTTACGTCGGAATATAAGAGCTGTCCATTAAGATACTGTACTGTACTAACATTTCAGTGTCATAACATCCTGACTGCAAAGGTGATTCAGGCCATTTACAATGATGAAACTCGATCCCAATTCTATGAGTGTGTTCTAGTTTCCAAATCATTTACTCTATTTAGTCACAATCCATCTTGGGGTATTGGTAAATACTACTGGAAAAATATTTGTTCACGACTCATAATGTGTTATATACAAGGTACACCCGGGCACTAAAAATAATAAACTGTTCTTACCTTAAATGCAGACGGTGGAGGAACCAAATAGTTCTTGTTACTACCAGGCCCTTGCGGTCTGGGTCCAACCTGAGTAAAGCTGCCACCAGACCATCCTCGCCCCTGTTTTAAAAAGATCACTAGTAAATAAATCCTACACATAAATCAATAAAACAATAATAGATTTAATTCAGGAAGCAGTAATGCATAAAGAAATCCTATATGCCATGTGCAGTATATGCAACTATACAAAAATATCATGATACAGTTGCTGGCATAATTTTATCTTTGTCCAAGTACAGTACTATCATACACAACAATTCCCATTCAAATAAGGTTTCCCACTACATGAAGGAATTATACTGAACCTTCGACACCAATTTCCACGAACTCCAACAATAAAGTGCCTCTCTCTCTCTCACATAGACCCACCACTGTTCCCACCCAATATCTATACCACCACACTAATATATCTATGTCTTTTAGTTTATCAACATTCCCATCATAATTCGTTCTCCCTTCTAAATTCCTTACAATATACAGCATTATTCAATGATAATAAAAACTTAACTACACCTTTAACTAAATGTAAAAGAAAAGTTGCATCAAACCCAATAATGAAATAGACTAAATCCATTTTTCATCGGTTTTCAGCTAAATGAATTCATGGATCAAAACATCTCCCCTGCTTGAATGTTACACAACTACTGACTTTGGATCAATTAGAAACTTTGATCTCCATTTACTTGTTTATTTCCTTACGTAATTTATCTCTACTGTGTCCCTTTGTCAGGTTCATCATTCTTCAGGCCCAATTCAGTGTCACTCCACATCACACAACTATCCATCTATTTATCTATAACTTAATCTATGCCTAATTAAACTGGGTATAGCAAATACACCTGGCCTTATAAGGAAAATAGTGGCTGCAGTATCAGAAAAAGAAGATGGAAGGCAGTACATATTTTAATTATTTTCTCAACTCCACACCCACCTTCTTAGAAATTCATCAAATGCTCAATTCTCTGAAAAATCTCTATTTACATTCTAAAGTTAATTTTCATGTTCTCCAACACACCAATACAGTAGTATATTCATTATTCTCACTGCCTTAAATTTGTCTCTCTGCCAAGAAACCTTTTAACCTCTCATCACAAAATATCAAAATATAAATTCTCCAGTAGATACTTTATATATATATATATATATATATATATATATATATATATATATATATATATATATATATATATATATATATATATATATATACATACATACATATACATACATACATACATACATACATACATACATACATACATACATACATACATACATACATACATACATACATACATACATACATACATACATACATACATACATACATACATACATACATACATACATACATACATACATACATACATACATACATACATACATACATACATACATACACATACACATACATACATACATACATACATACATACATATATACATATATATATATATATATATATATATATATATATATATATATATATATATATATATATATATATATATATATATATATATATACACACATACATACTCGTGCATAGTTCGAGTTTTTAAGACCAAATTTTTAGGCAAAAAATTGGGGGTTGTCCTATACATGCGTAACAGTTTTGTTAGGTTGAACCCGTGCATGATGGGAAGGGCGAGGAGCAACTTTTAGCTTCAGACATGAAAAATATTTACCATTTACTGCCAGTAAACAATGGAAACGTAAAATATGTACCAATTAGTAATGAAAAGTTGTGCAGTTCCTTCAGTAAATGAAGCTCACCAACTTACAATAGGCTAAATTACCTTACAACGTGCTTTCAGTAGTCTATGTTGAAGTTCTTAGCACAGGCTAACTCATCATATCATATACGGTATCACAGTTCTCATTGATCTACAAAAAATACCGGTATTAAAAACCTTTTCGATATTTCACACTTAATATAATACCCGATAATCTACTTCAACCTCCTATTGTTTACAACGACGCATCACTCACCACCAGCTGTATCAGCTAGACGGTACTCGTGTTTTTCGAATCGTTTTCAGTTAATAAACTGTTACATCACCTGTATATTTTACCTTAACTGCGCCTGAATGAATATATTCTCGGAAATAAATAGTAGTTTTGCTGAAACGTGATGTATTTTAATGTAAAATAGGATAAAATACATGACGAAAACAAAAGATTTTACCTTACCTTCCGATGTTCAAGAGAAGTTACTAGTATTTTTAATAGTTTTTGGTTAAAATATTGTTATATTACAATGGTATTCTATTCATACTGTGCTTGATATAATGCATTCACGGAAATGTAATATTTTTGCAGAAATGACGTACGTATTACAGTGGAAAGTGGGATGAAATCGTGACGAAAACAATGACTTTCGCTTTCTTTCATTCAAAAGATGTTACCGTAATCGCTTTTCGAATGGTTTAGTTAAAAAACTGTTGTATTACAATAATATTCCCTCCTAATTGACTTGAATAAATACTTGAATGGAAATATACAATATTTTTGTTGAAACTACCCGCGTTTCAGTGTAAAGTGTCGTAATAATAAATGGTAAACAATTTGCCTTCGGCACTCGTGTTTCATGCACGGCGAGCCTCAGTTTATAGGACGTAGTGTGTTTTTAATGAAGGTTTTGTTGTTCCATTACCATAAAAAACGTGGGTCGAACTATAAACGAGGATTTATATCGGTCAATATATATATATATATATATATATATATATATATATATATATATATATATATATATATATATATATATATATATATATATATATATATATATATATATATATATATATATATATATATATATATATATATATATATATATATATATATATATATATATATATATATATATATATATATATATATATATATATATATATATATATATATATATATATATATATATATATATATAGTTTGATGCTGATGAAAATACACAAAGAATGTAAAAAGTACTGATCAACATAAAATAGAATTTGATTTTCCAAGAAAATAAATTTTTTGTTGAATAATTCTACAGGAATTTCAGCCCTTAACCCTTTGAGCACTTAACTCTACTAAGGTCGCATCTATAGGTTTTTGGTAGTGGGAGTTAAATCGACTTTTGTCCACACCCATAGAAAAAATTTTCGCTGTCAAGACTTAATTCATCTATCATCGAAGAGTTTTGAACTGCGCACTCAGCTTTGTGTGATTTACTGGTGGACGGTGGGAGCTCGGAGACCAAAACACACTCTGACGTCACTCTGCCTTGCATCAGCTGATTCACGCCGATGCTACCAGACCTCTCCTCAGTTTATATGCCATGACAACATTACAACTGAACCGTGAATAGATGGAGAATACAATGATAGATAATGAAATGAATTATTAAATTATAATGTAGGAGAAATGAGCGTGTGTTTATGCACTGCAGTATGTTGATGGCTGGATAGACAAGCTGATCACCACTACCGCACACATTTCAGCTAATCTGTGTACTGAAAATATGTCGAGATGATTCATGAGTGAATAATATATATATATATATATATATATATATATATATATATATATATATATATATATATATATATATATATATATATATATATATATATATATATATATATATATATATGTGTGTGTGTGTGTGTGTGTGTGTGTGTGTGTGTTATAACAAACAATAGGTTAATAGTGCATAAATATCAGCAGTGATAAGCAGCAACACGTTGTCATCTGCCAAGGCTCAGTAGACCTACTGTTACGATACACAGGTGCATCAGCGGTAAATGGTTGACAGCACAGTAATGTACAGTGCAGTTACTTGTGATGGAATCACATCGTTATTATTGTTTGAATTATTATTTTAGCATATTTCAGTCTGCCTGTTTATTTTTATTATGCTTTCCAGTTGTGGTGAAAGTGGTATACTGTACTGGTATAATATTTTGTGTTTATTTTTTAATAACTTAATTTGGCAAGCTTTTGGTATCATTTTGACCAGTTTTTCTTCAAAGAAAAAAATATTGAATTATCTTGGTAGAACTTATGCTTGGAATTTCTTCATAATTTTCAGGCAATTTCAATAGCATATATAAAACTTCATCATCATAACCATTTAGGAAACATAAAAATCATTGGCGGTGCTCAAAGGGTCAAGATGTGCCATTTATAATTCCGATTCATAAAATATATGCCTACAATCAAAAGAAGTTGCAATTTCAACAAAGCAAGATTAATGAAAGTGCATCACAATCTAGTTGACATCATCACCAATATTTTGCAGTTATTTTCCACACTTCCATAGGTTAGCCATGGTTATCTGATGGCAGCTGTTGGGAAGACCAGAATGGAATTTTCCCCCACTCCTCAACACCACAAACCTAGGGTGCATAGCCCCAAAAATTCAGCAGACCAGGCAAAGAGCACACAGCTTGGTGACCTGGTTGCCATCAGGCATGTTTAAGCAAAGTTTTACATTTGGATGCCTTTCCTAATGCCAACCCACAGGGTATAAACAGTTGGCAAGGCAGGGTCACAACTCCGTGAGGTAATCATTTAACCCAGAAATTCATTGATAAGCACTGTAAATCCAGTGAAGGGTTTGATTCCTGTACCAAATATTTTTTAACGCCACTCCCCTTGCACATGCCAGTAAATTCAAATACAGGTACTCCCCGACTTACGATGGGGTTAGGACCGACATCCAGGTCGTAAGTAGGAAATGCTTAAATAACACATAGAAAATAAAAAATTTGGGTCTCTTTTTCTTCTCAGCACCACAAAACACTCACTTTTAAGCTTGCCAGCCATTTTAAAGTGAATTACAGATGAAAATTTTGTCTGTGTACTGACTTTGGGACTCAAAAATACATAATTTGACCACATTTTGGTACGACTGAGGCGGTCGTAAGTGCGGGTGGAAGTAAGTCGAGTCGGTCGTAAGTCGGGGAGTACCTGTATATCAATGCATTACGACTGATAGTAGAAACAGAATGCTATATTTGTATACTGCCAAACTCAGGGCCATTACTACTGACTTCAAATGTAGTTCACAGATGTTTTATTTGTTGGAAGTGGCCTCCTTAGGTAGGTATGTTTAATTATGTTGTATACATGATCTCGCTGCTACAAAACTTTTTTTTTTTTACAATTTATTTTACCTGAGAACAGTTTCTCAAATGACAAGTAACATGTGTATCATTGGGGTGTACAGAAATGAACTCTTAAGAGTTTATATACTGTAGATTATGGTAGGAAGACCTTATATTTCAAGCTATAATAAGCACACATTCAATATATCTTTCACATACAGGTAATAGGATTAAGTTAACTTGTAATTTTCATATGAATACACGAGGATATACTTACTATCTTTCACACCCAGATACCTGAGTATGCTCCCTGTCACACAAAAATACCTGTGTTTACTCATTTTTTCACAAATACCAATATGTACTCACTCTTCTTCACACAAATACCTTGAAATATTCTCTCTCCCTCACACACAGATACCAGAATATAATCACTCCCTCACACACATACATCTAATAGGATGCAGTATAATCATTCTCCCTCACACATACACATAACAGGATATATTAACTTTCCCTCACACACATATACCAGGATATATTCCTTATCCTTCATACACAGATAGTGTACTGGGGTATATTCATTCTCCTTCAGATACTGTACTGGGATATATTCACTCTCCTTCAGACATTGTACTGGGATATATTCACTCTCCTTCAGATACTGTACTGGGATATATTCACTCTCCTTCAGACATTGTACTGGGATATATTCACTCTCCTTCAGACATTGTACTGGGATATAATCACTCTCCTTCAGATACTGTACTGGGATATATTCACTCTCCTTCAGATATTGTACTGGGATATATTCACTCTCCTTCAGACATTGTACTGGGATATATTCACTCTCCTTCAGATACTGTACTGGGATATATTCACTCTCCTTCAGATACTGTACTGGGATATATTCACTCTCCTTCAGATACTATACAGAGATATATTCACTCTCCTTCACACAGATACCAAGATATAGCAAATATCTTTTAAGTATAAATACTGTACATGGACATAACATAAGGACTCTCTCCTGCTACATTACTACAGTACCTAGAACATGGTTACTAACACGTAGTTGCATACCACTGCAAGAAGCTGTCAAGATGATGAGTGGAGTTAGTCTTAAAAGTCTTGTTTTACTGTTAAATTGAGATTTTAGATGTACAGTGGTGTACAAAGTTGCAGAAACACAGACGAGTTGCATATGAATCAAAAAATGTTGGAAACCAGTTTCAAATAAAACAGGACATGAGAAAACATGAAGGTACAGTACTTACCGCTCCTGGGTACTGAGGCTGTGAACCAGGAAACCGAGGTTGACTCCACTGTGAGGACGGGGCTCCAGGAGGTGCAGAGTCATTAGGTCGACTCCATGGCTGTTGAGGAGGTCCCGGCTGGCTCTGTCCAGTGTATCCACCATATTGGCTATTTGGACGCCATGGGGTTGTCCCTGTGATGAAAAAAAAAAATTTGGTTACCAGTCAAGTATAGTGGTGATTTTATTTTCAGAAAATGTAGGAAATATTATGCCTCAACAAAAGAGTCTTTCAAAACTAAAGTTTCTTACCTGGTGGTAGTGACTTTTCAAAATCTGGATGTCGTCGAGGACCTGTATAGCCTGCGGCAGCATTCGGGCCAGTGGGACCAGGACTTGGAGCTGATCCAGGCTTCTGTGTTGGTGGATACATATTCCCACCCTGGTAACCCTGTCAGGGGTGAAGTGGTTAAATTTTTTTTGTAAAAGTAATGTTTTAAATTCATGAGCTGATACAATGACCTACATAATAATAATAATAAAAATTTTAAAAACTAAGGAATGTGATCTAATTTAAAAAGCTGTATATTGTAAATTAACTAATACTTTAATGAAATAAAAGTGGCTTTCTAACACAACAGTAAAGTGTAAACACATACATTAAAAATGCAATGAAGCCTAAAATTCTTATGTCTCCCCTGAAGGAGCAAGACATTGTTTTCCCTGTGATCCTTCTTTTATTCTTCTTAACAATTACCCATCACTCCTTCACTTCTAGGCCAATTAATTTGAATAAAGTATACACATAGCCCTTTTCCTTTCTTCGTTACTTAAGGCCTTTTTAAGGATTTTATGGGTCCAAGTACACCTTGTTATGGGGTCACACAATGATACAGTGTACAGAGGTCAAAGGTCACCCAAAATATAATATTTTGGGTTTATGGCCCAATTTAGCCCCAATAGTCTTGAGACTGAATGGTGGAGAAATTTTGCTTTCCCTAGTAAATATTGGTCTCGAACTGGGACCTGCTACAGTACTGGCCAGAATCATGATCAGCACATATCTACTTATACTTTCCCTTTGTTCTCTAGGTCTGGTCAACACATATCTACCTATACTCTCCCTTTATTCTCTAGGTCAACACATACCTACCTATACTCTCCCTTTATTCTCTAGGTCAACACATACCTACCTATACTCTCCCTTTATTCTCTAGGTTAACACATATCTATCTATCTATCTATCTATACTCTCCCTTTATTCTCTAGGTCAACACATATCTATCTATACTCTCCCTTTATTCTCTAGGTCAACTGTTCTCTTCACTTCATAAGGCACTGCTGCCTCCAAAATGTTCATCCCTCTCCTTTGGTCTCCCTTTTGCCCTCCTACCATCCAACTGTGAATCATATGGTCTTCTGATAAAATGTTCACTTCCCATTCTAACAATAATGCTAACAATAAAAAATTCACACACACTGGTATGGAAGGAAACACAGTAGTTGTGAGGGGATGGAAAGTATCATTCAACGGTAGGTGTAAATGCCGTTAATTTATGCAAATCATTTTATTTTAGGAAATTCTAAAAAAATAAAGATGTTAATTATAAAACAATAATGCATCAACCAGCACTAACCCTTGCACTAAGTTCCTGTACAACTCATTTAGTGGTGTTATGACAGATACTGAACCAAGAAACAGAGCCTAAGAATACAGGTACCAAATTATTATTATTATTATTATTCAGGAAACTGCATGTGTTAAATTATCAAGCACTTAAAATAATAAATACCAAGAATATGATCACCAATGCTCATGGACTTTAATGTTCACTCCACACAAATCCCAGTTATGAAAGCACTTTCTATACTACCAAATTGCATAGCTTCTCATGAGCAGTCATTACAAGCATTAAACATGTGTTTAGTCAACAATGTGATCAATTCACCGAACTCCAGTTTCTTAGCAAACCAATCAAGTCATGAATTCATTTTTTAGACTCAAAGCATAGTCACATTTCATTTTGCCAACTCACCATACATTTAACACAAGATCACAAACTGTAATTCCCCAATATCACCTTATGAGTTTATTCTTGATATCCATATGTGTAATAAAAGGGAAACTTGGAGAACCAGTTAGGAGTTTAGAACCTGATCGAGTGAAATGTCAAAGATATGAAGAATGTTGCATATGAGAATAAAATTAAGAGTGGAGATGAAAGATGTGAAACATATCTACAAAATAAGATGGATGATGTAAACATGGGCTAGCTCAAGAATGTTGGGAATCAATCATACAAAATTTCAATCAGCAATGAATGGTATGAATATACAGTACAGTACTTTACAAATATATGTGGCATCTAGAATATTCAAAAGAAATACACAATAGTCTATGCAGAACTTCCTTGTACAGTTGCGGAAATGTGTTCCTACACTCCATGGTAACCCGTGTCTCCAAATGGCCAACCTATATGACCTATAGCAAACCTATCCACCGATCACATCCATCGTTACAAGACCAATTCCCATTCATTCGTAGTGATACTACGACTGCGACGGTGCCATTTAGAGACACGGGTTACCTTGTTAACTTAATAGATCTTCTTGAGACAAACTAATAGTTTATTCATAGTCTTTATTTTCTTGTGTGGAAACAATTTTAAGTCTGCCAATTCAAGATTCCTTTCAGATGACCTGGTTTCTTTAATTTTCTTTATTAACTTTCTCACTGGAAATTCTTTCACAATTCTTGCCTCAGTCCACCCTTTCTTTACAAAACATTCCCCAATTATTGCCTTGTCACTTTACTTTTGCTTAAAAATAATATAATTAGAGGAGTTGAAAAATATTCAAGCTTCACACTTTGCTGCATCTGTATCGTATACAATACAGATACAGTACATTTTTTCCGATCACTGTGGCTGTATCGTATACAATCATATGGTTTAAAATTGGAATGCGGGCCTGACGAGCAAAAATGCGCGTATTATACGTAAGTATTTTTCTACCAAGTTGAAATATGTATAGGTGGACTCAGCAAAAAAAAAATAATAATAATAATAATAATAATAATAATAAATAAATTTTCATTATATAGTACTTGTATAAAAAAAATAAAATTATCAATAATGTCCACACACAGGATATCCTGATTAATTAATGATGTCGCAGTGAAAGGGTCAACTGAAAATCAATCACACATTTTTGCAAATCAGTCGACTTCAATACAGAAAAGTTGCCAACTACTATGTAATTTTTTGGTTCATGTTACAAGTATTTGTTTAATCTGGTGCACTATATACTCTTTAATTTTAGACAAAAGTATTGCAAATATAATATGAAAATTTTTTGAAATTTTGTCAATAGACAGAAATTATATTAACATGAAATTTATAATTGTCAAGGTATTTATTTCTTGAATTATTACCCTCTAAATCAATATCTTGATGCATTTTTGGGGAGCCACCCGATATAACATTCAATATCACTACAGTATTTATATTTTATACAAGTACCTGTATTTTTGCATTTATTAGCGTATCTATATTTATTACTGTACTGTACTAATAAAAATTATTCTTGTCACTTAATGACTTATTTGCACTCATGACTATAAGAGGTGCCCTCGCAAAACATGAAAGAAGAGTAAAGTTTGGCGAGTCAATATGATATGCATGAGCTGTGTGGCGGTCATGGCATGACTGAAAACTGTAGTAAGGACACAAGGAAACTTTGTCCAGGAGACGTGTCCAATGATTGTTTTAAACAGGAAACAGATCATGTTTCGTGAAATTTTTCCTTAAGTGAATACTGTAATGTAAAAATAATATTGTGTTTGTAAAGTCATGTTACTCAAGGAATACCTGTATAGTCACCATTAATAATAACAACAAGGCTTCTGTTACTTTTCCAAGATGGAGTATCATTAAAGAAACAGTTCTGGGATAGGAGTATTCATAAAATACTCAAGACCAAGTTTAAGACACGTAATATTTAATTGAGGGGTAAATTGGTGACACTAGTTACAGCACATTCATTGCAAATTTGTAGAGTGAGTGAAGATATAAACTGGCAATGTAAAATAATTCTTTACCTTATCACAGGTTGTCAAAGTTGAAAATAACAATGAATTTTTAGTGGGGCTTAATTTACTTGATTCAACTTGAGTTTAAGTCAATGAAGTACTGTAATGGGTCAATTGGCAGAGAAACACCTTTTGGTTACTGCTATCTCTCCCTAATACCTGAGGTCAATAGACGGATTCATGACAATGGCAATGTATGTGAATGGTGACCTATATACGGTACACAGTATTACCCCGCTTTACACAGTTTCACTTTCCGCGATTTCTCATTTACTCATTTACGCGTACCTTGCCAGAACCAGACTTTCACTTTCCGCGGTACATCTACTCATATACGCGTGAAGTATAATTTTTTATTTTTTTTATTTAGCTCATAAAATTCATACAAATTACCCGGCCAGAATATAATTTACATTGCTGGAATTCTTACAATATGATGATCATTTTGAAGATAAACATCATGGATTTTGCATTAGACATACAAATTTTAGATCTAATGTAATAATTTGGTTTACACAAAGCAAGTATTTTATCTTTTGTGCAAAATATATGAAGTTTACATTCAAAATTTTCCCTGACCTGCAAGGAATCCAGAAATGTCAATTATATTATCCTAACTTTAGTCTGAGTTATTATTTATTACTAAAAATGTAAATTACTATTTTCTCCCAAAGCTTCTCTGGTAGGGAGGGAGGGAGGGACCGACCCAGCTAGGGCCGAGTATTTTGATTGACAGATAGTGTCCTTGAAGAATATTTCTTTGTTTATTTAATGAAGATATATGTTTTAGCTCATAAAATTCATACAAATTACTCGGCCAGAATATAATTTACATTGCTGGAATTCTTACACTATGATGATCATTTTGAATATAAACATCATGGATTTTGCATTAGACATACAAATTTTAGATCTAATGTAATAATTTGGTTTACACAAAGCAAGTATTTTATCTTTTGTGCAAAATATATGAAGTTTACATTCAAAATATTCCCTGACCTGCAAGGAATCCAGAAATGTCAATTATATTATCCTAACTTTAGTCTGAGGTATTATTTATCACTAAACGTTAAAATCTAGTGTTTCACCCAATCATTTCTCAGAGAGGTAGGGAGTGAGCTGGGGAGGGGGGATTTGAGTCCATTATTTGAACGGACATTAACCTGGCGACTGTATTTCTCTTAAATATTAATTGTGTGAGCATACCATCATAAAATTTAGATGTTATTTTTACTACAACATAGGTATTGTGTCGGAAAAAGTGGAGAAACAGTGGAGTTTGGGGGTCGGGCCAGTCTCTATTGGAATTAATCCCATATGTTCTGTTGTTCACTTTACGCGGTACCCTGTGGGTTCAACTGACCGCGTAAATCAGGGTACTACTGTATCATGATTTGTTGAATGTAATATTACGGTAGCTTTGTATTAAATGAATGTTAATTGCAAATGATCTACAGTACATACTGAAAACAGTCATTAATTTGATAACTAATATGGGAGAAAGATGTACTGGTACTCCTGTACTTTGTTGCTATGTTACCTTATTTGGAACAAATGGTGTGTTAGCCTAGATCATCCTTGATCTGTTACCAGAGATATTGTGCTAACTTTGGAAATACCAAAGTCAGCATTTTTATTCGTAATCAAATATCAGAACAAAGTAAATGACTTTGCAATTAAAGCACCACATACACACAAGTCATTCGCAACTGTCAAAAAACTAGAAACACGGGGAAAAATAAAGGAAATATCTACACGTTAACTTTGCTTGAAATAAGGAACTGGGAACACGAAATATAATTTAAAAAACACAAATTGGAGTTGGAGATCTGAATGGCAAATTACTACAAGTTTACAGAGAAATTATTTAAGAATAAGGTGTTCTATTGTGCTTCTCGACAAGAAATGGATAGAAGGATCAATAAAAAAAGTTGAAAACACCAATAAGCACCGGTGGTAATGCTTAGTGCCCATGGAAATCCTTCATACATTTTTCCTTTAAGTTTGAGGGCTAGAAAGATATATTCATGACTCGCATACTCAGGGGCTTATCAAGGGGGTCAGGAACTCTCCTCTTTTCATCAGAAAATTACAATACTTTTTCTTTAATATAGTATTGTACTCAGGTGTTTTTGTATAGTAAAAAGTAATTACTATTAACTTCAAATATCAAGTGCACATGGCTTCAAAAGACCAGCTGGGCGGGCTTGCTGTGCTCGTCAACCCCCCCCCCCAACTTCTTGGACCCCCATTTTTTTAATTCCTGGATCCCCCATACTACAGGAGTTAGGACTTCAAAGAAAATAACATTTACATGATAAACAATATATATATATATATATATATATATATATATATATATATATATATATATATATATATATATATATATATATATATATATATATATATATATATATATATATATATATATATATATATATATATATATATATATATATATATATATATATATATATATATATATATATATATATATATATATATATATATATATATATATATATATATATATATATATATATATATATATATATATATATATATATATATATATATACATATATATACATATACATACATATACATATATATATACAGTTGTACCCCACTTAACCCGGTCAATAGAACCCAGAGGGTCCCGTGTTAAGTGAAATCCGCGTTAAATGAACAACAGAACATATGGGATTAATTCCAATAGAAACCGGCCCGACCCCCAAACTCCACTTTTTGAAGACATAACTATGTTGTAGTAAAAATAACATCTTAATTTTATGATGGTACATGCACACAATTAATACTTAAGAGAAATAGAGAAATACAGTCGCCAAGTTAATGTCCATTCAAATAATGGACTCAACTCCCTCCCCCTCTCACACTACACTGCCGGCTCTTCCCTCTCTGAGAAATTTTAGGGGGAAAACCACTAAATTTTAATAAATATTACCTCAAACTAAAGTTAGGATAATACAATTGACATTGCTGGATTCCTTGTAAGACCAGGAATATTTTGAATATAAATGTCATATATTTTGCACAAAAGATAACATAGTTACTCAGAAAAATTTTTTATCTAAAATTTGTATGTCTAATGCAAAATATATGATGTTTATATTCAAAATGATCACCAAATTATAAGAATTCCAGCAATGTAAATTATATTCTGGCCGGGTAATTTGTATGAATTTTATGAGCTAAAACAGGCAGTCAGGCAGGGTGGAGGTGGGCAAATCTAAAAATAGCGTCTCGAGCGGACACTCACGGCGTATGATGAAAAAAATCCGTGTTAAGTGAAAGTTCAGCTCTGGCGAGGCACAGCGTATATGATAAAAGCGTTAAGTGAAACCGCGTTAGAAATTAAAAATATATATATATATATATATATATATATATATATATATATATATATATATATATATATATATATATATATATATATATATATATATATATATATATATATATATATATATATATATATATATATATATATATATATATATAATGTGGATATATTAGTGATTGGGAAATCTAAGTAATTTCTCTACATTAGTCAAAGAAATTGGAAGAGACTTCCACCTGGTATACTACAATACAGTACCTGTAACATGAACATACCAAGAGCAGTGTATTTAAAAATATACTTAAAGCAGGTGAGTGGGTCGTAATGAGGAAAAATTAAAATGAGATGACAGCGAGAGCCAAGGATGGTCTGACGTTGTGTTGATGTAGGAATGATTGGTGGAGGTGCAGTATAGCCCACCTTGTAACACAGCAGGAGAACATCTGAATGATGGTTACTGACTAAATGGTCCTCTTAAGACAACTTTCCAGTGGGTGATCACAATAGTGTTTAAAACTAAATAATTACCCTGTGTAAGTTATAAACACTACACTATCTTTTTTTTTTTGCTGTTAAAATATTTGAAAAAATGTCTAAAATAACATTTCTATGGCAATGATGCAAATAGACTCTTCAAAGTGGAAAACAAAACATTCGAAACACTGCTAAAGCTTCAATCTTTTAACCCATTCAACTATAGAATTTGGTAGTAGAGAGACTGTTTCAATCAAATATGATAACCTAATATACAATTATGGATTATAAACAAATAAATAAAAATAAAATAAATAAATATAAATAAATAAAATATATAAATAAATAAAAATAAAAAATAATACTGATTATGATGATGATAAAAAAAAAACGTACTTGAAACACGGGGGGCGTGCTGCGCGGAGGATTCAGCAGTTGTTTGGCCAATTGGGAGTTGCCGTAGTTGCTGCCGCTACTTCCCATCTACAATACATGGCATCCAACTCAGTCTACAAGCAAGGCTACGCTACCAAGTTGGGCTACACACATTCAGTAGTGGAGTTACATTCAACTTGAAAAATCTCACTAGTATATTTTTTGCTCATGACTTATATAATAAAATTAGGGTCACATCATGTCTGCAAATTTTGAACATCTCCTATCTCTCTCGCTAGATGAGCAAATTAAAATGTACCAGTAAGAGCAAAATCTGGACAATAGTCAGTTTATTTTTAGTCTCTTATACAAGATGCTATAGTTCTACACTATTAAAGCATTAGTGTATTTCACTTGAGTTGTATAGTTGTACCTGTACATTTTACTATCGTACTTCAATCTAGACTAAAATTAAAATAGAACAAGACCCAGCAATAGCTTTAACGACTTAACTTATAGAAACTTGTACTCCTTTTCTTTTAAAGGAAAACAGAATCCTGAGACATACAGTAATCACTCCACTACTGAAGTTGTCAAATGATAATAAAATGAAGAAGGTTTGGGGTTGGTTGGTTTTAATCACTGCATACAAGCTAATACTGGAAGCAAAACAAGATAGTAAAAAATAAAAATTAGGCCTACACAAGACTTAATCAAATAGAGGACAACTTGGAAATAAGTTAATAATGATTTAATAGCTGGGTATCAAGCAGGCAAGAGCTGTAATCACACACAATACAATCAGATCATAATAGCAATAAAAAAAAAATTATATATATATATATATATATATATATATATATATATATATATATATATATATATATATATATATATATATATATATATATATATATATATATATATATATATATATATATATATATATATATATATATATATATATATATATATATATATATATATATATATATATATATATATATATATATATATATATATATATATATATATATATATATATATATATAAGCACTGTATAATCAAACATTTCATCTTAATTGTACTTGGTGTGAGTACAGTTAATATTATTCAACAAAACTAAAAGTCTTGGGCCAACTGGTCAACAAGGATACCTATAAATAAATGCTGTTATTCATACATAAACGGGGGAGGGGAACAAGCTTATGAAAAGATAACTGAAGCAAGCATTGTACTGTAAAATATACACAACTCTTTAAATATAACAGAGCAACAATACTTTGTTAATATGGAACTTAAAAAGACACAGGGGAGAAAAACAGTACAGTCTCCAAGCTAGGGTTAGTGTGAGGTACACAATGGGTGCTCGTCAAACCTACCGGATACTGGTCTTGCTGATAGCCAGGCTGACCCGGGGTATAAGCCGGCCGCTGGTAGCTCCCAGGCTGTTGGTAGTTCCCCTGATAGTTGCCCTGGTGGTTTGGTGGTCCTGGAGGGGGGTAGACACGCCCATCGGGAGGGTAACCAGAGTTGGGGTAACCCCCCTGACCATAGCCACTCTGCATACCCTGGTAACCATGATATTGCCCCCCTTGGTATCCCTGATAGCCTGTAGGTAGACGACATGTGTTTACTGACAATAATTCATAGCCAATGGTTTTGTGGCTAAGGAAATTGCGGATTCTGTGTTTTCATATTGTGTGACATGAATATGGCAAGCAATAACTAAAAGAACTTAAATATTTCTGGTAACAATTAAATAATCTTTAAAAACTTGACATCTCGGATGTAAACCAAACTTGCTCCCATGAGCAGTGTACCAAACTTATGACAACACTAAAACATATGTGATGCAAACCAATGAATGGAAGAATGTAAAGAACACAACTAAGTACTGTATGGCTTTTATAAATCTCTATCATCAGTGCTTTTTTTTTTGCCTTTTTTTTTAATAAATGAAAATTAAAAGCTATAAAAATTTATGAAATTTACAATTTACTGATATTAGAAGAAATGTACATAAATACATAAACAACAGAATTTTGTTTACAAACAATGAACAATGCAAATCAGAAGATAACAAAAAAAAAAAGAAAAAAATGGTGAGAAAACATTCCAAGCATTCAAGTCAAATCATGAAAAGTTTGTCTGCAAAGACAACTGGGAAGTCTGCTTCACAAAAGAAAATTAAATTCATCCCATAATCATGTCCATCTGAGAATCATTTGGTGGATGATACCAATGGGATAAACTTCTTGAGGTTATAAGTGCAATAACTTTGGGAAATGCTGCGGTTAATTCATGGAACAGAAATCATAAGAGATTCTGATCTGGAACCTATATATAATAGCGGTGTTGTTTACCATAGTCTTGCCAGACAAGGATAACAGACAACCAAGTCTTGTCTTCATAAAATTCAGAGTAAAATAAAACTGTCATAATAGTAAAATAAAAGAGTGTAAAAATCTGCTGCCCTTGATAGGCCTTTATAGGATTCTGGTAAACTGTCTCCCAAGAGTCACACATAAATTTAACTGTAATCAGAGTGACCACAAAGTTCCCTTTTCCATTCAATAAATTTTACCATAACAGCATTTTCTGAGGAAATTGAAAACAAAAATTAAAATAAATAAATAAATAATAATAATAATAATCAGGGTTTCCTCAAGATATCACAGTGAAGTTTTTCCAATCTATAAGTTGAGATACCTACATGCAGTGTGAGTGCCCAAGTCGCTATGAGTACTGTACTCCTAACAGCAAACTCAGCACGATTTAAACTTCCTCCTATCCTGACTGGTATCAACAAGTACAGTACTTAAAAAATTGCCAAAAGACATGCAAAATAAAACAAGGAAAATTTTTATAAGATACATCTAAAACAACCTGGCAAAAACATAAATGAGATAAACAAAACCAATATTTTACATACAAAAGGGGGACATCTAATTGAAGACATGTTACAAAATGCATTCAACTATAATGAGAGCAATTAGATGCTTTTTAGACTAACTAGAGAGACTGTAAATGGCCTCTCATTTGTCAAAGTAGTGCCTATATTGTATTGAAAATATATTCTTATATTCTTATTAACTATTAAAGAATAAATTAACCATCAGCTGGCATTACTGAAACTTGTGCCGAATAATTTTGTGCATCATTACTAAATATCCAATCTCGTTAAAAACTAAGAAGCATCTATAAAGCCCTGCACATTTTGAACGCGCCAACCAATGCACAGAGGGTTGGGTAGAACGAGCACACCCGACACTACGGCCCTTACCCTGAGTACGAGAATACGAGTTATGGTAAGTTCGTGAGTACTGACACTGATCATCAAATGGGTTAGACACGTTCACGTTTTCCCCGTTGCCTACTGGACCTGCGAGGCACAAGGTGACTAACCATCAGTATCGGGCTTGCCAAGGAACTCTATGACGTACCCAGGTTGCATTGTCAACAATTTGGCTTTTTATTTACAGGGAATTCATTTAATTTTTTTTATTTTAGTTCTATTAAAGTAGTCTGTGCAACCGGAAAAATTACGTCTCATTAAAGTAAAATCAGTTTCATATAAAACTACACCAGGGTTTTATGAATAGAAAAGAACAGCAGCTATAAAATAATAATAAATAAAACAACACAGTTTCATGTTCACGCTGTCTTGGAAAGTGTGAACAGAACTAGTACCATTATCAATGATGCTCTTGCATGGACCTAGGGGCAAGGAAGGTACACACACTAAACAAAACCACTAACAGTATAAAGCAAGCCAATCACAAAGCAAAGCAAAATCTATTGCTATTGTTGGGTGTTTAGAAAATAAATTTTCAATCAGAATTAACTGGCATTTATTGTACTGTACATGATATATATATATATATATATATATATATATATATATATATATATATATATATATATATATATATATATATATATATATATATATATATATATATATATATATATATATATATATATATATATATATTTAACTTCATGTAGATCCACAATAAAACGTGGATAAGATAAATCTTGATAAAATCACAGGAAAAGGGAACAATGGTGCTCCATTGTTTCCTTTCCCTGTGTATTTATATATATATATATATATATATATATATATATATATATATATATATATATATATATATATATATATATATATATATATATATATATATATATATATATATATATATATATATATATATATATATATATATATATATATATATATATATATATATATATATATATATATATATATATATATATATATATACTGTATATATATATATATGTTAATATTTTCAAAAATTTATGTTCTATAACCTTGTGATGCAATCAGATAAACTGACTTTGATGGATGATAATTATTGACTTGTACATCTCGCTAATGCATATTAATATCATCTTCACGCCCATACATATATAGCTTTCATTATTCAATAGGCAATAATTCAAGACTTCTGATTGCATCACTAGTTTCCCCACAATGAACTGCTTAAAAATGGAGCAGCAACTTAATAACTAACAAAATATGGCATAAGAATTCCAGATATAGTTAAAATGTATCAACTTTTCTTAATTTACCCTGTCTAAATTTCTGCTATGTCAATTTATTTTTTCTTGAGGAGAAGATTTATTTTGCAGGTTAAGTCAATCGAGGGAATATATTCTACCTAACAGCAGGATACATAAAATTTTAAAGAAAACGTTTAAAACATTCGAGTTACATTCAAATGATAAAAGGTTTCAAGTCATTTGCAAGGGTAAATATGTACTTGGAGCTTCAGTACAGGAACATGAAAATTATCAAGTAAAAAAATTGAAGAAAATCTGTTAAAGGTAACATAAAATTCAATGGTCTCTGTGTAAGGTAATCAAAGACAATATCTCTTCCACTGTCCTACCCTGTAGCACACTAAAACTTTTAAGTTCCATAATATGTATCACAGACTTATGCTTTTAGCACAGTAGGTTTCCACAGTATGTTTAAGAGTTTTACTATTCTCTTATACTCATGAAGATTTAGGGATGATGGTTGGGATAATAAATAGTCTACATAACTCGAGATGATCATGATCATCTTCAGCAATTTATGGTCATTTTAACACTTGTGGGGGTTAGAAATTATCTGAAGAACTTTACTGGCACCTAACTAATAATTTATTTCCTTCATAATATATATACTATCTATAAATACAAATTATAAAAAAGAAAAGAACTAAAGCTACTCTTCTTAGGTTTTAGTCATTTCCTGTATTCCAAGTAACAATCTTTTCCACACATTTCTGTTATTGTCCATAAAAGATAAAAAAACAATACAGTAATTCAAACAGTTGCTGAATAATACTACATGCTGGTTAATTATAAAACTAGTAAAAGAGTTGCCAATTGCCAACACTATTAAAAGTAATTATCAATTAAATCGAAGACTGATGGAAAAGATGAATGACTGAAGTAGTGCATGATATTAAAAATGCCAATTTATGGTGTTCATTCTCTGAAGGATAATCAAGATTCTAATTAACTGTGGTAGACCCCCCAATACTGTACTGTATATGAATACTTTGTGAAGGAGACAACAAATATCAATTTGAAAATAAAGAGGAAATACCTAACATCTTCCAAGATCAAGCCTCTATGAGCTAAAGGGATCACCTTTTTTATACTGTACTACTAATACAGTATACAGTATACTGTATAAGTAGATATGACAAAATAAATCTGAGGTGTATGGCTATCCAAAGTGTGTGCTTTGTAAGATTTTAAATTTAAAGTAGCTGGGGTAAATAATTGTGGATCACTCCATCAAAATGTTCTCATACTAAAACAAACATTAATTCGCAATTCCCTCAACACAAATGGGTAATGTTCTTATGTTCAAATGAATAGCTTCAACCTACATACAGCATAAAGGAAGAAGGAATTTACCATTACTAAGAAACAAAAATATCTGACTGAATTCCCTTATTAAGCACTCATAACACATCAGGGAAAACACTGATTATATAAACCTATGGTTTCTCAACTGTTAGAAAAGATGAAAGAAAAACCCAACTACCCGGTACTTACCAGAAGTTGACTGTGAAGGTGGTCTCTGCGGCATGTGGCCACCATACTCTGAGGAGGGTGGGTACTGTGGGTATGGGCCAGGCACACCCGGACCCCCAGGTACATGAGGGCCATTGGAAAACCCATCCATGGAACTGCTGTTAGACCCAGCTGGTGGGAATGAATCTTGGGAGTTTGAAGACCCTGAGGGTGAAAAGGAATGTTAAATATTATTGTCTATAGTATATTGTTTTTCTTTAAAATATCATGTCCTTGATTACTACTGCCCTTTATAAAGCAAACAAATAACACTTAAGTTTTACCTAAAAACTTATCTTTTGCACTGGTGTCTGGGCAAAGTATACAAACTCTTTATCAAACCTTTCCAACAATAACCACCAGCATACATTCTAGTCTAAGACACCCACAGGTAAATATATTATTTGCTTAAGATTTCTCAATAAACTGGTTTAGGTGCCAACTTGCACAACAACAAACACTCTTTATATGCATAATGATAACTTTGACCAAAACTGGAAGGTGCTGAAGTAAAAAAAAACTAGACACTGCAAAGTTTACATATGACTTCAAGTATAAAAAAAGCATACAGTATATGCAATAATTTCATATTTCCTCCCATTCAAGTCATATTACACTGTTAAATGTTATTGTTGTCTATTTATTTATTTGCTTAATGTGGTTTCTGCATTAGATCAAGGTTGGTGGAAAATATGTGAGAAATTCGGTACTACTCACCAGGTGAGGGCACAGATATCGTCTTCGTTGTTTTCTTCTTCGCTGCTGCTTCTATCTGGTTGACTATTGGTTGAGGATCAATGCCTCCTCGGTCAAATTTACACTCATATGCTAAGACATGCTTCATGTAATGCCTGCGTAGGGTATAAGAACCACTTGATGATGCCCCAATGCCCATAACTGCTGCCACATCTTTCCACTGCTTATTCTTGGTTACCTAAAAAATTACACAAATACATTAATACTAATTAAGGGTTGACATTAAACTCTGGCAAAGTACATGTGGTTTCTAATCAATTATTCTATCTTATATGACCCTATTCTACACTTGTGTTAGGTAATTTACTCCCAAAATGCATCAGTATCCTATATATAACCCATGCAGGCAGAGAATTTCCTATTTTTTCAATTTACACTTTTATATAAAATCATCTATCTACTACGATGTACTGTAATAATACATGGATTATCAAACAAGAGAATGTTTATTTACTAACTACAACAATACACTGTTCTGTAATGTGGAAATGCCAAACTAAACATTCAGATTCGAACCACAAGGAAGTCTAAACAATGCCTGCTTGCAGTGCTTGAATGATGATAATGATGATGATGATGTGATGATGATGATGATGATCAGAGCATAAATAGTATAAACATAACTCTATTTTTATAATTAGAAAGTTTAAAATAAAACTTATCACTATAATTATAAATACTGTACAGTGCATGGAAAAATAATAAATATTGACTTCTTTTATTAACAGTCTAGTGTAGCATAAATAAAACAGTGTGGGAACTGGTATTAGCAAACAAATATTAACAATTCATAAAAATATTCCTTAATTACAAAAATGTCATATTCACTTGAATCACAACACTCCCAAATAAAATGTTTAATCTCCTACATTTTGCTATGATCCAGCATACACATACTGCTGAAAGGATACAAACCTTGATGAAGACAGATACTTACCAAGCCACATACCCTGTATTTGGTATTACCTGTACTTTCCCTTATACCTGTATCTACTCTTCCTCTTCATAAATACTTTACTTTCTTCATTAATAATAATATTTGCTCTTATATGATGGCCAAGTAACAAATTAACTTCTTCCAGGATATGTTTCAAACATGGCTAGTGAGTATTAATACCAAACAAGTACTGTACTGTATAATGCATAAGGCAAAACAACAACACAGGTTGGACCTCACTAATCCAGGAAGTTTGGGACCAAACTGGTTCCGGATTAGCGAAAATTCCGAACCACTTAAGACGAGGTTATAAAATGCAAAACAATGCATAAAATGTACTATTACTAGTACCAATACAACTTATATCAGCATAAATCTAGCCCAGGCTTACTGGACCTCTTTATGACAAAGTGTTTGCTGCTATGGCACACGTTTACTGTACACTGGACCCTCACTTTATGCCATTCACAATAGGGGAATTCACATACAGTGTATACAGTATACAGAACTAAACAATGAATATATTTTGAAATACTCTAATATTGCAATGGAATTCTTGCAAGATGACGATTAACTTAAGTACTATAAACATCACATAATTTGCACTAGACATTAATATTTTAGAAATTAACTTAGTACATTTAAGTACAGGTTGTGATAATTGTAATGATTTTTCCCACAACTTTTATAGCATTACTGTTGACTTTTAGTAGTAATGGAACACAACCTAAATTTCCATCGAAGCTGCCGGACTATCGGGTCCCAGATCAGCGGGGTCCAACCTGTAATAAAGAATGATACCTCACCCTCTCCTATCCCACTATTCCTAAACTATCTCACTTACCTCTCTTCCATCATTACGGCACTGTTCTACCCCTTTAGTGAGGAGACCAATTATCAGTCATTTTCCCTTTTGAGGTTATTGTTGTCTAACTATGATGATACTTCCCCTAATAGTGTTCAAAATTTAACTGGGAAAAAAATTTAAATTGAAAAAATAAATAAATAAATAACACACCTCCACAAAGCCTCCACGTTCCCGTACGTGGAGATAAAGAGCATAGAGATCAAGAGGATTCTTGCTGATTGTGGGACATGCAGTGATCGGGGTCTTGTTGTCATCCATAAAAGACAATAATTTGTCCAACCAGGCACGCCGTTCTGGAGAGTCCGACATCTCATAAAGCCGTGCAAGATTTTCTCCCGGCTGGAAAGGGAAGATTTAATAATTGCAATGAGATATACAAATTTAAAGCTCTTAATGGGGAGTTTCTGGCATGGTCTCCCTTGTTAGCAAATAAATGTAACAATAAGAGCAAAGCAGGTGAACCCAGTCTCTGACTATGAATTCCTTAATCAAATATGTTATTATATACTGCAAGTTTTCTAGGCTCATACCTGAACTTATGTAAAGATCAAGATGGATGAATGATGAATGTGTAATTATATAGTAAAGCAATCACAAGTACTGTATATATTTTGGTAATTATGATATAAAAGGATGAATGATAATTTTAAGACTATCAATCACAAGTTAATGTTCTGGGCTAACATACTGGAACTGTTTATATTATGTCATTAATTTCAAACTACAAACATGATATGAACTATGAGAAGAATACGTAGCAACCTCCAGAGGATAACATCCTCATATTAGAAGAGAGTACCGAGATTGTTCTACAAGACTAACTTGGTAACTAGGCTGAAAGGGAAGGCATTATGTGAGAGCATCACTACAACTGGTTAGCACATCTCAAAGCATTGGCAGAGAGGGTTTCTAAAATATAGACCAAAAAGCTAAATGTTATCCTCATACACTCATGTTTCCTAAAGGCTAATTTATATCCTGAGATAAAACCACCTTTAAGGAAACACTATGCAAGACTAACTAGCAAGTCTGGTCACATTTGGACTTCCATGGGATTCAATTTAGTAATAAAAAAGAACTAGTTCAAGATGTTTCAAGATTTGTTAAAATTAACTGCAAGACATTATTAGTGTTCACTTGGATGCTTGTAACAAGAAAAAATACTTATGCACTTTGAACCTTCACTTTTATTCTTATTATACATTACTCGGCATCAGGGGTTATATGGATGCAAGTTGTAAAATATCCAAACTTGAAGCATTAAAAGTGGGGCTTATGATTAGTTAATGAGAATAATGACCGTGTCAAACTCCATTCATAAACCATACAACAGAGAGGACTCACAGAGCCAAAATAAATTCATTCCCATAAGACTTAAATCATCGAAAGTTCTCTTTTGTAGCACCAAATATACACTGATCTTAAAGCTGCAATGAATCCAATATGATATTGATGAGCATTCAGGTTAAAATTGTGGTCTAGGCAAGACTGTTATACTAAGGAGCCTATGCATCACACTTAGGTATGAGCTACAACAAGCTAAGCATACATAAAGTCCTGGGCAAACAGAAGACAATTACCTCTCTGAGAATCACTGTATGTGTACAGCTTCCCAGATAAAGGTTTCTTTTAACGAGAATCAGAAGACTGACTTTGGCCTTCTAGCTTCTGTTGATCCAAGATATTAAGTATTATTTTTGTTGCTAAACCTTCCAATTTGTCTTAAAATAAAGCACTATGGTCAATGCCACATAACCACTATATGTGGAAAATCAAAATACAACCATAATGCTTTTTGTTAAGAAAACAGTTAAGTTTACCAGCAATATCACGGCTTCATCTACAAAGCTACCAGTGCCGTAAGATCTATCAGAACAGCCAGCACAGTTCTGGGATGTTCATAGCAACAAGCTAGCAGCAACTAGCTACTGCTGTGATGAGCTCTATACCAGCAAGACTACTGCTAGTGCCATGCTATCCATGCTTCCTACAAAGGGCAAGTTGTTAAGCTTAATCAAGCAAGTCATATACCAGGGAATCTTCTGGCTTTGCCTCTGCCCCCCACTAGTCTAGAAGATTTTTTTCAAGTTGCTAAAGAAGTTTCTCTAATCATATACTGTAGGCTTAATAATTTTAACAGCCTAAATCCTTTACAGTTTCACATATCAATTCAACTGTTAGCATAGGTAGGACAGCATCTTACCTCAATGGTATTAGAATATATTTGGAGAATCTACAAAAGCACAGGAAAAGATTTAGTAAGCAGGAGCACAGACTAGAGAGGGGCGGGATGGAAGCGTCAACCAAGAGGCTGGTCATGTGGAGTTAGGGGGAGGGGAGATCTGCTAGGGAGTGGGGGCAATCAGGCCTGCAACAGTTAGGTAGTAAATCCAAAAGTGGGCTGGGTGTAAACCTTGATATTAACCTTGGATGGTCTGTAGATGTCTGGGGGTGGGGGTGGTTGACTGTTAGCATACAC